GAGGATGAATCACCGTAATTCAATAGATAGCTCGCTCTTTAATTAAGAGATCCTGAGAGATGATTATAAGACTCTTTGTTGTACTATTAATTCTTAATCCCTAATGAGGAGCCTCGGGGGCGTTCGTGGGATAGTTGATGATATTGTGAGGTTGCATCTTTTCCTCATATCAGATCTATTGAAAGATAGGTTGTTGCCTTTCGTCGGCTTCCTTATAGTATTTATCTTGAATATATAGTTTTCTCCTTTTTTATCGAGTGGCTCAGATTCAGGTCATTCGGTCGTCTTCGTGACTCGGTCGGCATTGGCCTTCTTTAATCTGGCTCAGTCGGCTACATCCGATCAATAAGTGAGCCTCTTGATCTTATGTCAGAGGGTTATCCTTTGTCATACTATCTTCATTCTAGCCAATAGAACTCCTCAAAATCAACGCTGACACTTTTTTTATACATATTTTATTCTCTCAATTCTTCTACTTCTTAAAAGCGATACTACAATAAGAATACGAAATTTAATGCAAAAAGTAACATATATTCTTAATCAATAATTCAATAATTAAATTTTCTTAATTTTTGCGCATTTGATTTATATATATAGGGTGCAATGGGACTCTATTACATTCCATACTTTCCTTGCATCTCTTCTTGTCTGGATCAGTCTGTTTCTAAGCGTTATCATGGAGAAAGTGTTAAATCTTCCAATCGATCCCCCGAAAAAGAAATGCTTCTTGCCTCCTTTAAGAGATTAAAGAATTGGTATTTACGAGAAGGTTAAAAGAAGACGAAAACAACTGCCAATAAGAGAAAGGAAATCTCGCAATTAGATTAGGCGGGTCATCTGATTCACTCCTTGGTCCTTAGCAAAGGAAAGTTTGGGCTACCAACCTAGCCATCGATCTGTCAGCTCAACTTTCTAATGCAACAAAAGAACCGCTGACTGATCAAACCACATAAGTTTTTACCAGTGCTTTGCCGCAACCCAGGAAGCATGAAGCTACTGGAGTTCTACAGCCGTTCGGGGCACAAGAGGTTGCTGGTGCTCTGCCACCACTTGGTGAAGGTGCCGTGTCAATCACTTCGTATGAGTCATGAGTAGAATCAAATCCTTGATATGAGGAGTTTTGATCTTACTTAATGGGTTTTGATTTTCTCTAGGTCTTCTTTTTTATGTAGTTTTTTATGCAGTTGGTCCACTAAACATAAGTGATGACTTGCCTCAGGCAGAAGTTGGTGGGAATCCTTCCGCAACACCAGTGGAGGCTGCCCATAAGTTCTTCAAGTGTAGCTAAATCTTGATTTAGGATTATGGGATTGATCACCTAGGTAGTCCTCATGTGGCCCATAATGAAACTAATAGACACCGAACAACCCTCAGTTCGTTGACTCGCCGCTTGGACAAGATTGAGAATTCCTTTGCTTGGTCAACTGTGATTCAATGAGCTGTAGAGATACACAAGCTGTTGGCTTGTATTGAGAGATTTTAGAAGATGGAGGAGATGGCTACTCGTCACTCAAATTTGTCAGACGTCCAAAGTTTTGTATAAAAGGTTGCATCGGCTGGGCTACTTCTTGATTAAGACGGCAGATGATCCCCATGTAAAATATATCCTCTCATATTAGCTTTCAAGCATAATTTTAATGTTTATTTTTGAAATAAAATTTATTTTACCTTCTCAAATCTTGTGTTGATATATTTTTTTATCTGCTTGTTTTCAAAATTAGTGTATTGAATATGTTTCGACCTCAATGTGATGGTTTCACTTCTTTTGTTACCCGATATATAAGGGTTGGGGTTTGGATTGAAGCTATTTTTTATTACCTTTTTTTTTATCTTCACTTCTCCTCATTCCCTCGGCTTTTTTTCTCTGTGTTATGTTCAAATGGTTTTAAAATACTCTCTGAAAGCTTTTAGGTTGATCGTCGCAACCGAGCGATTGATGATGACTTGAGGGGAGGTGGATCAGATGCAGGACACCTGTCTTTTATTCCTCCTTAAGGATTCAGATCACATGTGGTAGTCAGGTTTAAGAACATGAATTTTGCCAAAGCACGCGTGGGAGAGTTTGATGACTCCCCTTGGCCGCCGAAAGCTCCGAATAAGAGCGATATGGCCTATAAGGTACCATAATGGGCAACAAGCATGTCCCATGACAAAATTTAAATCTACCCATGGTGGATTCTCCTGGGTAGGGCAAAATCGGTACTGATCCTGATTCTAGCCCGAGGCACGTACCAGGAGGTCCTATTGAATGTCTTAGACTACATGAAACTGAACACAACCTTGTATCACTTGTGTGGACATCTCGAGCATGCAACATAAAAAAAATTGACGCCAACAACGACACCAGGGTAATTTCACATAATTCATACATCTAAGAACTCTTTAAATGACAGAATGGGATGACTCTATTCCATCTACTCAAAAGATGGTAGGGACTATGATGATATATTACATGGGTTAAAACTGACTCATTCACAATTTCTTCAAAAGGAGCTTTTCCTTGTTGCTAGGTGGTCTCTCTGTATGCCACAAGCTTCATTAGCTACTCGGTTTTGATCATATCCTTGATCAAGCATCGAAGGTGCCAACACTCAATTTTTGAATGTGGTTTTAATGGTATGCACAACGCTTCTTCAGGTACTGGAGATACGCTCCATCTTTCATCAGAGTTGTCTTCTTAAAATAATCTTTGTTTTTGGATGGACTTCACTATCTCAACCATTGAAACTCTTAAAGGAGTTTCCATGGGGTTCTCATGAAGAAGTGTTTGTCACTCCTCGTATCGAGTCAGTTGCCTCTCGGTGTATCAAACTTGATTTTCCTGGTAATGGGACATGTCGGTTTTCTGATTATTTGAGTGTCTCCAAAAATTCTAGAAGCAAGCTAGGGTAGAAGAGCAAGGGTTATGACTCGATTTCCACCCTTCTCCATTGTCGATTCTTTTTGGAGGTTGATAATAGCTTTTTGCTTAATTCTGACTAAAAAACAAGGGTTGTCTGTCCGCTCCATGTAAGACTCAAGCGTCAAGTTCTTGAACGGTTCCAACAGCTAGGCACCAGTGATCTATCGGGAGAACACATTCTATGGTTAGCGCGGTGCGTCAACATGTATGAACCGATGACTTTTGATTGGTGGAGACCTAACACTATCGAGGTACTATGCTTCATCTTCCCTTTCTTAGACCGGGTGGACTCTTCTGTCGTTTGGTGTCAGGACATCCTGTCGAGGTTGCTGCTTCTGCTCCTAATTTAGGGCACCTCAAATCTTTTCTAGCATCGTATCTTTTAGATCCTCGATTTGTTGGGGGTACAAATTCTCTGTGGCACTCCACGTTGTCATCAATTTTTTTGTTGTGAGGATCTTCTCTTTGTCTGACTCCTCTTCTCTTTTGTGGCATGATCTACTCTTACTGCATCTTTTAAAATGTTAAATTTGAGATTGCCCATGAATTACAACTAAGGAACAAAGCATAAAGTAAGGAGAGAGAGAGAGAGAGAGCGAGAGAGAGAGAGAGAGAGGAATAGTGATGAATAATGTCTCTTTCATAAAATATTTCTCTTATTTATAGAGGAGATGATACAATTATACTATTATATTTTTACCCTTGATAGGAAGGGGCCTGTACAAGGGTGTTTCTAGAAATTTTAGATGTATTGACTTGTCATTTAGCCACATTCTAGCTCGTCGGACTACGTTTAGTTGACTTTGGGCCGACAAGTTCAGCTTGATTGGTTGAGCTTAGTCAGTGTAGTTCGGTCTACCGATTCAGCTTGGTTGACTGTCCTCGATCCCCAGTGAGGAGCCTTTGAAGTCTCTATGAGATGGTTAGGGATAATTTGTGGAACTTGAACTTCCTTTGTATTGACTTTATTGAGGGGTAGGCTATAGTATCGAATCAACTTTCCTGTAGCGATTGGTTCATATACTCTTTTATCTTGTTTTCGGTCGGATGACTCAGCTCGGATCATTCGGTCGTCTTCTTGTCCGCCTCGGGGCTCAGTCAGTCTTGGCCTGATTGGCTTGGCTCATTTGGTCAAGTGGCCGCATGATCTCGTACTAGTGGGTTTGTCTTTATCATACTCTTTCCTAATTATCCATTAGACATTTTCAAGATCAATGCGAACACTTTTGTTTATGTACAAATATAAAAATACACCAGAATCAAATGGTGTGTATGTAAATTCAATATTAGGCATCTATCAATAAAGGCAAAGAGAATGAGAGAGAATATACATTCAATAAAGGCACAGAGAATTGGTCTTCTGGCCTAGAATTAGTGAGGTCCCATCATCAGAGCTTTGTCCTCTCACCTAGTTTTTTATAGACAATCTGCTCCACTCCAATATTAGGCATCTATCATTGAGGCAATCTGTGAGTTAAGGGAATGAGGAATTTCTTGGAACTTTGCAGACTGAATTAGGAAGATAAAGCTTAAAAGACAAGCGTCTAATAATAGAAAATAGAGTTCAAAAGAGTACGTTCGGTTGCCCATAGAGTTAAGAACATACATTATAGGATTTCGATTTCAGAATCAGTTTGACAGTGAAGTTAAAATTGCCATTTTTATGGGGGTTGAGAAGAAATTTGTGAAATTTGATTTGTAATGAAATCTGTGAAAGTTAAAATTGCCATTTTTATAAACATGCTTTGCATTTTAATAATTTCGTTTCAAGTTCTGACAGAACTACAGAAACTATAAATTTATAATCAAAACATAGTTTTAAAACCTGGTTTCCAACCTGATGGGCCTACATAATCATTATTTTCAAAATCCAGCCTTCAAACTTCAGCAAAAAAATCTACTTGCAGGCTACAAACTCTGAATATTCAAAACTTAACTGCAAAATCCCCAAAGGAACTAAAAGTAAGTTCACAATTCCTTCCATTATGAACCCTGAAGCTCAGTTTCAGTATTTCAGCAGCAATCAAATTCATAAAAGCAACTCATTCAAAAGAATAGAAAAAAAAATCCATTGAAACAAGTAGATATTAATGCCCAAAATGCACATTTTATCCCAGTTCATCAAGAAAGAAAAACCAATACCAGAAAATATTTCTCATCACAATCCAGACAAAAACAAGAACCTCAAAACAAGCTAAGATTCAGCTTCAGTACAAGCTCAGCATGCTCCCTGTAAAGGAATGAGGACTGCTATACTTGTTCCTCCCCCAGCCTCTCCCTCTCCGGCCATCTTTCATGGGTGGCAAATAAAACCTCAGCAATCCATTGTCGAAATGGCTCGGCGAATACCTCGCACTCCGATTCCTCTCCAACACGACTTCCTCCTTTTTCTTCTTCATCCTATGGCCATTGCGATCCAAACCATTCCTACTCATACTTCCAATTCCACCATTAACTGAAGCTGAACTCCTTAAGCTCACATTGCTGTTGCTTCTGAAAAGGCTCCTATTATACCTGTTTGCTTGCAGTTCTGGCCATGTCTCGGAGAAGGACCTCTCCACCTCATTTGACCTGTTCCTACCAACATTTCGCCGGTGAATAAACGCCCAAATATTCCATGCTTTGCTCCACCGCCGTGACTTCTTCAAAGGCGGCACCTTTGGTCGTTGATCTCTCAAACCAGAGTCGAAACTTTCGGCGAAGAGCTCTCTGGAATCTCTTTCATGCTTGCTTCCATGGGAGGACAGAAGGATCTCATTGGTCTCAAATGACTGCTTTCTAGTTGAACTCGAGCGGTCCAGGCTTCGACGGCGGCCCTCATAGTAATCCCTCGTCTGCAACGCTCCTCCTGGAACTACTAAATCCTCCTCCACCGGGATCTCGCCGTCAAATCGCTGAACAACCACCGCCGGAGCGTCTTCCACTACGGATAACATTGACGGCAGCCGAGGATGCATTGTTCGCCCGCCGCTGATGAGGTACCCATCCCATGAAGCACGAGGTTCATCCCAAGAGAAGCGAGGGTCGTCGAAGGAGAACCGGCCAGCGTCAAGAGAGAACCTTGGTTCGATGTCGCACGACCGCCGGCCGACGGTGCCGAGGGTGCCGATGGTGTCAACTCTGTTCTCCGGTTTCTTCTTCAGCTTCTGCTTTCTTCTCCAAATCCCGAGCTTTTTACTGAAGACGGAAGCGGCCAACCAGAAGCTTCCGGCGATGTCTTTGAGGTCTTTGGGTGGGAGCTTCTTCGCCTGAGAATCGAGATCTATGTGGTCTTTCATGGGCTTCATTTCCGCCAAAGGTTCCTCTTTTTCTTCCTCCACCATCTCTTCATCAGAAGCAGCCACGATTTCGTCGATATTCTCGCTCCGTTCCTCCACGGGGACGGTAATGGAAGGGGGAAACCCAAGATTAAGACACCCGTGATCCCTGTCATCCTGGTGGAACAGAGATGACAGAGTGTTACGGGTGCGGACGTCGCAGGACTTGCGTTGGGGTTCAACAGCGGCGGCGGTGGCGCGTGAGGAGGAGAAGGACTTGCATCGCCGGAGCTCCGGCTGGTGAAATGAGTTCGAGGAAGCTCCAGAGGAACGGAAAAAAATGGACTTTAAGGCGTTGGAGGTAGATTTTCGAGGGACTTCTGTTGCTTCGAGGCCGGCGAGACGTTCGCGCAGGCAAGAAGCGCAGAAGCCGATGACTGGTTCGCCGGGGTGGCGGTCACAGGAGGTTTGAGGGAGATGGTGGTTAAACGGAGCCGGTATGGGCGGCTGGATCTCCATTTCCATGTTCATGGCAATGTCCGCAAGACCTTCAATTCGGCTGATCGCCGCCGCTGCTTTTCTAAACCCTTGAAGCGGAAGACATGATTTTTAACAAATGGTCCTCTTCACGCATCAATATTGACACGGGGAAGAAATGGGAGAAAAAAAAATGTGATTTTGCTTACGCATTACAAGGGGCAAGGGAGATACAGAGGGGGGAAGCAGGCAACAGGGCTGGGGAAGAAGAAAAGGGGACTCGGGTAGTGAGTCATTTTTCATGGAGAAGAGAGGGAGGGAAGAATCTATAGCTCGGGACTAAAGAGAGCTGCATCTTAACAAAAAATAATGATTACATGTGGAACCCTTGAAATATTGTTAATTGCAATTTAATTATCTGTCTTTTCTTAAAGATTAAATTAATGAATGTATTTGAATGTGCCACGATCAGACTAACTCAAATATGACTAAATTAAAAGAAAAAAAATATATGAGTTTGGAGTTGTCGTGATTTGATATTTGAGTTATAATTTAATAAAAAAGAAACACAGTTTGGAGTTATTTTTTGTTTTATGAAAATAGTAATAGCATGCATCATTCGTAAGATACAACATTGATTATATATACATACATATAGATATATATATATATATATACACATACATACATATAGATATACACACAAAAAAGTAAAAAAGCTTAGTTCATCTTATTTATAAAATTTATTTACATGCAAATATTTAAATAAAAAACAGATTGATCTATAAATATATTTTTACTAAAAAGTGGCTTTAATCCAAACTAAAAATATATAAATAATTGTCTTAGGGGTAGTTTGGATAGCTTGATATATTTTTTTAAATTTTATGTAATTTTAAATTAAAACATGCTTGTTAGAGATGATTATTTTAAAAATACTCAAAAATATCTTTTAGATGTTTCGATTGTTTTTTAATAAATAAATATATTTATTTATTTTTTAGATAAAAAGATATAAAAATTATACTAATCAAACATACTTTCATAATAATAATAATAATAATAATTATTATTATTATTAATATTATTATTATTATTATGAAAACAAAAAACAAAAAATTATGCCAAATGAACTCTTAATTTTTAAGAGAATTTTTCCCAAAAACTAACTTCACTAATAAATAAATTGCTATGATACAACTAAATAGCTTCTTTTTTTTTTCTCTCTAAAACTTATATATTATGAAAGGTTTACTTTGGAATGACATTATTTCTATTTTTTTAAAAAAAATTAAAAATAGTGAGTACTATTTCTAATAATGATACCAAGTTTTAAATTTTTTGCGTAAAATATTTTTTTGTTCAATCTAATTTTCAAAAAGGAAAATAATATAATCCAAGAAAAAAACCCATCAATTTAAGACTCAAATATATGAGTCAATAAGAATAGTTGTCAATCTATGTATAAGTAGAAAAAATAAAAAAATTTTATTCATTTTAAAAAAGTATTACTAAGCTTTGAAAATATTTTTATTGCATTATTTTACTTTTTATATTTAATTTTGTATATCGAGCATACAATAAATTTTTCACTTTTTCATTAAAAATTATAAGTTCATAAAAAATGATGTGAATTTATAACAACTATTTTAAATTTTTTAATAAAATTATATAACAATTTATCAGAATGATAAAAAAACAAATTGAGGAAAAAGAAAGAAAATGAGAAAAATTTTCAATATTTTTTAAATATGAGTTTGATGTAATAAAAAACATTGCTAAAATTTTGAACAAAACTTTATTTCTTGCTTAAATTCATAAAAAATTTAAATTTACTTCTTGCTTAAAATTTTAAATTTAATGATTTTTAAGGGTATAAAAGTACTCAAATTTTACAAAAAAAAAAAAAAAAATCATTTCATTATTGTAAAAGGTAACATTGCTTAGTAAAAAAGCATAAATTAAGTGAATGACTACCAAATACATTAATAATTTATTTTAATAAAAATTTAAAAATCAAATGTGAGAACATATTAATACATTTTGTATATGGATGCAATGAAATTTAATAAACATGTCAATGTCTTCATTCATCATTAATTATTATTAGATAACATAGTTAAAATCAAATTTAAAATTTAATTACAAATAATATACTTGACATTTTTAAGTATAAACTTATTGGAAATATTTTCTAGAAAATATTTTCTTAGAATTATTTTGGATTATTTTTTTTTATTTTTTTATTTTTTTGTTTTTTATTAACTCGTTGATTTAAATTAAAATATGTTTAATTGAGCTAATTATTTTAACAAACTCAACAAACATATTTTAAGTGTTTTTAATGGTTTTAAAACAAGTTTATTTATTTTCTTTTTTAAAAAATATAAACCAATCAAATATATTTTCAATAATAAAAAAAGGAAACAAAAATGATATCAAATGATAGTGTTTGTAGGGTTATATCAAACATCTGAAAGAAATTCTCTCAATATATTTCATGATAAAAAATAAGTATAATCAAGTTCATAAATAATAAAATTAAATCATTAGTCATTCACAAGTATAATAATAATTGAAAATATGCTAATTATCAAGAAAATATGCTGCAAATAAATCTATCAAAACACAAATTTTGAAGCAATATTTTTTTTTTTGAAGTTGAATTCATAACCATACAAACACCAACTTAAGAAAAGTTATAGTTGAAATAAATATTTTAATAAATGGCCCAAGAACACATAAATTATATTCAAGTGAGCTCAAATCAAATTCTTGAAAAGCACTTCAAAACCTTTTTTTTTAATGAAAAGATGATACTATTTAATGGATAAAAGAATCTCTAAATTTTGTGTTCTTTTTTATAAGAAAGTATTATAATTAAAGAAAATTAGTCTGTTTTAGATATTTAAATAGTTAAAAAATCTATAATTAAGGAAATTAGCACTGACCATCAAGTAAAATATTTGAGAATTTTGTCTAAATTACTAAATTGTCTCTTTCAAAATATGAAACATTTTAGAATTTAGAATATGAAAATCTCTTGAAATCTCTCTGATGTGTGATAATGATGATCATTACCGACCAATTACTGCTAAAACATCACGATCTAACTGTCATTTCGTGAGCATCATTTTAAGACCATCGATGTTGTTTGTTTATCATCTTCTAAAAGCGACCGTCTCAAGTTATCGTCACCCAAACATCATCATCTAACCGCCTTTCAAATCTTTTCCAACATTCTCTACTTCAATCAATGACTATCGAACTTATCTTTCATAATTTGCAATATCGTCCCGCCTTGAAATCTTTTATTATTATTTTTTAAAATTATGCAAAAAGTCTAATTTATTTTGTAATCTTCCTTCTCCTGTGTTTGTGTGATGCAATCATTTAAAATAAAGATGCAAGAATATTTCTATGTTCAAGAATATTGTAGCAAATAACAATGACTGCAACATAGAATGAAAAAGGAGAAACGATTATCACGAAGTCTTATGGCACATATAATGATATTATCTCATTATGATGGAAAATATTTGAGGATATTCTCATAGAAATTGTTCTATACAAGCAAATTATAATCATGAAAGTAAACCATTTTGTAAGCTTCATGCAATATAAAACGTACGTATATTGCCCATATAATTTGTATATTATATATACAATCAATTTATCTAATAAAATATATGAAGTAACTAATGTATTTGTAGTTGTGCCTCTATATATATTATTGAATCTAATATATATTTGAAATTAATAGGTTCGAGCCCCCTGAGTACATTTATCTTACAGCTCGGGATCGAATGGTTATGCATATTAGAGTGGATATGGGCTCTTATCATAGCCTCAGACCATTCTTCTTAAAAAAGAGTATATATATATATATATATATATATTGCATTTTTTTAGAGCATCCGCTTTGGGGGTGTAAGTCTCCTATGGTTTGAATTCGAATACCGCCTCTTGCAACTGTTGCTTTAAGGAGAAGGTACTTCAATATTTAGGTGCATGGGTCGACCCCATTGGAGGTTGAGCCAATAGGATGAGTTGGATCCCGACCCATTATCTTAATATATATATATATA